GCATAATAGAGCCACCACTATGCTTAACAACTGGCAAGATTTTTTTTCTTCAAATGCATCAGCTTCCCCCCCACCCCCGGCCCCAAATATAACTTGTACAGTTGAGGCTGAGCAGTTCCATTTTTGTTCTATCTGTCCAAAGGATTTCTTCAACAAAGCTATTTTCAAATTTATTGAGTTTTTTCTTTGCATACTTTAGACAGTCACGTTTCTCATGAATTCAGAGAAAATATTTCTTTCTGATAATGATTCACCCAAGCAGAATTGTACAAACAATATTTGTACAATTGTCATATTCCAACCTCAGCCAAACTTTTGAGAAGGTCATTTGCATTGCTCTATAAGTTCTGCTTTGCAGATCTGACCATTTTTCATGTAATTTTGGAAAGATTTTATCACAATCTTCAAGCAAATATCCCTCTGTTAGTAAAGATGTTGAAAATGAAAAAAGATTGGATATTTCAGCAAGGCAGAAATCCAAAACATGTCTTCCGATTAACCATTGAATTTTTACAGGAAAGAAAAATAATTGTTTAGAAATAGCTTTCAGAGTTCCCAGATTTGGACATGGTTGACAGACTGCATGCAAGAAGCCCTCAGAATATTTTTGAGCAAGAAGAGCTCTTTAAGGAAGAGTAGGAAAAATCCAGAAAAACAAGATTAGAAAGGATGCAGTAAAAAATTGGAAGGTGTCACAAACAAAAACAAAGTTACTGTTACAAAGTACTGGCTGTGTGTTATCCAAAGTTTTTCATAGCTATATTGTTTTCTTATTTGAATGCATAACAGCTATACATAAATAGAAAGCAAGCAGTTAAATTTGCCAAAAGATATAAGTTATTTTTGCACTATGTAGAACTGTGTCAGCTGGAACTGAACAAAGATTAGGGAACAATGTTTTAGTATAGTTGAACTGATAATGCTGAACTTTTAGCATCCTTCATTGTTAGCCATGCTGACTGGCTACTAGGAATAGCAATTCATCAATATTTGCAGGACTATAGGTTGTTCACCCTTGATTTATGCTGCCGAAAACTGGGCTGAAAAATTTCATCCCTACTCCAGTGGTCTCACTTCCTTATCTGACAAGCTCCTTGCATCTTTTAGGCAAGAAAGAAATTGAAAATGCAAATTCCAGATTAAAATAGGATACCCGCTCCTGAATCAAACAGTATTAGGCAAAGTGGATGTGTTGTCTTGCTCATGATCTTAGATTTCTTTCCATTTCCCTCTTTGGGTTGGCAGCTCTACCTAATTGTATGCCATGCCAATTCTGAGTAATTTAATTCATCCCCATTGGGCTGAGCACCTTGAAACTTTTTTTTTTTAATCACTCTGCAGCACTCTGATTTGATCAGATGTGGTCTTCATCTTTAGTCGGATGCAGACATGAAGAGTAGAAGCTGGCTTCTTTAGTGCTGTGAATATAGAAGTACGAGATCTTAAAGAAGTGAACCCCAATTTTCCATTTCACATAATTACTGTTTTTTTTTTCCTTGTACACAAACATATTCCCCTTTGGTCTCCAGTTGTTTCTGGTTTTTGTTCTTTTTCCTTGTCCTTTATAAGGAGTTCAGCCAGGCAGATGGTTGCAGTGAGCGTGGGCAGCTGTGCTAGCTCCCTTTCACTGTTAACAGCTAAGCATGGTAGATTTGACTTAGGTGTTTGTTCTAAGCGGCTGCTTTTCTGGATAAGCTGGAGCAAAGGTTATTGGAGGCTCTAGCTTTAGAGGCTCATTAAATTTAAATTAGAGGACTTTTTTCCCCTCCTTTCTCAGTGAGACAAGGGAATCTATTTATTAGCAAATGAGCAGGAAGCATCTTCTATAAATGGGAATAAATACAGCCTTTGCTCCTGATGTGATCAGAAAGCTGGAGAGACCATCAAGTTCTGACATTTTCAATTTTGGAAACCAGATTCTCTGCCTCTGCCTCCCCCTGAATTTTTTTTTTGAAAGCTGGCTTATTAATTTTTCTAAAGACCTATCAACCCCCAATCCTCAATGTAATATAATTCCAACTTTTAGAAAAAGATCTTTCCTTTTGCATTTTGTTTTAACAGTGCTATTGATCACCCAATGTTTTTTTTATTTCCTCAGCCCTGCCCTTGCTTCATAGCTGGGTAGGGCTTTTGCTCTTCCCAGTTCCCAGTTGAGGGAGTATTAAGGCAGAGGACAAAACATTTGCCACAGTAAAACACAACTGGGATTCACATCGTAGGATTTTCAAAATGTAGGAAGTCATTACTTCGGCATGTTGGGTGGATAGACCCTATGGGAGAACTCAGGGTTATTTTCTCTTGTTTAGGAGGAACTGAACCGAAGCTAATTTTTTATTTGTAATTGTTTTCATGTATTATTGCACTTCACGCAAAGATGATGGTTATGTGTTGAATGAATGTTTATCTCAAAGGCAACTGTATCTCAGTCAACGAGATAAATAGTATAGACTAGACGCAGGGGTATCAAACTGGCGGCCTGCAGGCCGGATGCGTCACGTGTAGGCCATACCCACCCCAGCTCTGCTAAGGGAAAAAAGTCACGAAATGTCATGTGACGGCAATGCAGAGGTGGTATTCAGCAGGTTCTGACCAGTTCTGGAGAACCAGTAGCAGATATTTTGAGTAGTTCGGAGAACTGGTAAATACCACCTCTGGCTGGCCCCTCCCCATCTATTATCTGCCTCCTGAGTCCCAGCTGATTGGGAGGAAATGGTGATTTTGCAGTAACCTTCTGCCACGCCCACCAAGCCACACCCATAGAATTTGTAGTAAAAAATTTTGAATGCCATCACTGTGACAATGTGATGCCACGAGTTTGATACCCATGGACTAGAACAATTTGTGCTTAGCTTTAGGTGCAGGTTTATATAAACATTATGTCCCTGTACATAATATTTACTAACTCTATTCAAACTGAGAAATGTAACAGTCATGAAAGGTAATAATCAATTTTAGGTCCCTCATATATATTTGGTGTATGTGTGCACGCTAAAATGAATACAGCTTTGGGTCCTCCATAAATTCCAACAGATGATTGGTGGTTTTTGTGCCACTGACACACAATGGTGCATAAGGACTTGTTGCAATGTTTTGCCATCATTATAGCCCTTCTTGTTGATCTTCAAAGTTCATATTCTGACCAAGATAGTTTCTTCTCGCAAAATAGAAATTATAAAGATTGAGATAAAGCTTCTTCTTTCCAGGAGTGGTAATTCAAATCATGGACATCAAATTGCCCTCGCAGCATCTTTATTAAGCAGTACTGCTGGCTGTTTTTGTGTTAAATGTATTGCATATCAAATTTTATTTTGAGAATGATCTGATTCTCTTCCGATTCCTTATTTTTTTTCTTTGCACTACACATGTACTCTGATTTGCACCAGGTACTTTGCTCAGATGTGTTCAGAATATAGTTGTATCTTTTGGAATACCACAGACCATATCCAGTGGTATAACACATGTAGATCTTAAAGTGTTACTTGTATATTTCAGCAATTTTGCACGATTGGGCATTTGCCACTGAGCAGCTCCACAGATGCTATAGCATCTGTGCATCCTTCTGCTATTCAGTGGAATTGGATTGGGACAATAGCCTAATAAATCATCTCCAACTACCATTTATTCTGTGTTTTTCTCCCTGCCCCACCAATCCTATCCTGATACCAAAATATTACTAGGTGTAATCCCCCTGAAGCAGGAAGGACTCCTTGGAAAACAACCTACTTCAAATGCAGAGTTGAGTCCTGGTTTAAGAGAAAATTGAATTAAATTAAATTATCTGGACATTGCAGACCTCTATAGAAAGCTGGATGATTTGGCGTAACGAGTACTGTTTGCTCATATTCTCCAGTAGGATGTTATATCATTAATACTGTGAGCTTAAATCTGGGCCAGAATGAAAGTTCAGGCTTATTTTGTGTTGAAAGGGAGAAAAATATAAGGAGTCTTGAGAAGTCTTTTTTTTTTTTTTTTTTTTTTTGGACTCTGGCAGTTACTCAAGACTCTGAGCCTGATGCCAATTGCTCAGATGCTGCAAAAAATGGATCATGGAATTTAAAACCCCATCTCAAAAAAGGAGCAATGAATCCAAGTGAGTTTTTTTTAAAAAAAAATGGGAATGACATATCTTTTGGGGGGAGAAGGTAAATTGTAAACAACTTACCTTAAAATTAGAAAAACACTAGCAAAAATATAATTTGATATAGATGTTCATCCTTCATCAAACACATCTGACTTCTTTTTTTAATTTGCAGAGGAACTGAAGTCCTCCTAGAATGTTCTCTTTTTAATGTTAGTAACCGTTACCGGTTGCACTTCTTTGGCAAAAATAGCATCTAAGTCAGAGTTTTTCAAATTATGTTCTACAGCTTAGTGGAGAAGAGATGTGGTGTGATGATTCAGGCACTAGGCTAGAAACTAGGAGACCTTAGGCATGAAACCAAATGGGTGACCTTGAACTAGTCATTCTCCCTCAGTCCTAGGAAGAAGGAGGAAAGGGCAAACTACTTCTGAAATCTTGCCAATAAAACCAGAAGGACATGTCATAGCAGTCACGAGTAGCCAACACTAACTTGTTGATTCAGACTTGCATACACACACATGCATATAGTGGTGGGGGTAGGGCATAAGAACTTTAGGGGCACTCCTGAGAGAATAAGGGGAAATATTCCAATGCAGCCAATTTTCTGTTAGGAAATATTTTCTTATTGATGAAGGGTTCTACTCTGTATTTTTTAACTAAATGCAGCCTGAAAAAGTTGATCTAAGTTTCTGAACACCATTTTTGAAGGGCATCCATCAAATATGAACCAAATCAAAGTTGCTGAAGAACAATATTTAGACAAAAAAAAAATATCCCATAGACAGGAGCAACCCATTTCCTCCAAATTCTGCATTTTAGAACTCATTCTTGGTGCATTTTTATGATCCAGCTCTTCATAAATTTATTATCCTAGAGAAAAGAGGTTTCTGTTAACTTTCATAACAAAATCAAAAGTCACTTTTCATACTGCACCCCTGTGATGCAGAAGGAAGCTTTATTCTCCATTTCAATGACAGTATTAAAAATAAATACATGATACAATCAGTGTGGCCATTTAATCAGAGAGAAAGAGGAAATTATGGAGCAAACTGTAGACAAAATAGTGATCTGGCACAAAGAAGTAAGAGAACCCTTGGAGAAAGATGAATGTTAGGTAGATTGATGGGAGCAGCATTGAAACTTGGAAAAAGCAGAAGAGAAGGAAACCTTTTTCCAAACATTTTTAATAGCAATTTCTCACAGCTTCATGTTTCCTAAAGACATATGGGACCATAACTCCACAGCATTATCCATACTAGCTGGGGATTGTTCAACACTTCTGGTGGGTACCACTTTGGGGAAGGCTGTTTGATAGCACCACAGATTCTATAAATTATGGTCTCATCTCTTATGACAATAACCTCTGAGGTAGGTCATCAACGCATAGGCAGTCCATTCAGAATTAATTGTCTGGGGCAGTCCAATGAGTCTAGGTCTAATGTTAAAACGAAGCCTCAAATCTGAAACCAGAAAAGCTAAATTAGTAACTCCAAAATACATCCTGGGAAATATTTCTACAAGTGAATTTGCTGTATTAGGCATGGAAGTACCTATGTATAACTGTAACTTGATTGTGTACTGCATTCGCACAGTCGTTGTCAGCAGTCAGCAACCTTTTCATGTCCCAAGTGGCATCGCCTGGGGGCTAAATTGTCCTCCCCCCACAAACCATTTGTAATCTCCTGAGATGGCGATAGTCTTACCCTGCATTCTTACTAGAATCAGAAACACAGGATCGTAATGTTCTCACATGAGACTTTGTGAAACCTTAAACAAGCTGAAATTTTATAAGATGGGAGGAGGAGGATGTTAAATTTTGAAAATTTTTATGAGAGGGCATGTGAGGCACATCTTCAGATGAGGTGACACATCAAGCAAATGAACATTGCCTCAGAGCTTTGACCAGCCATTCCAGCAGCCATTAGAGGTTTTGTCTCTGCTTAGGGCATGTGCAGAACATCTTTTCTATCTGTTGGAACTGCCAGGAGAGGCCTCTGAACTGAGATAAAATGAAGTAAAGTGGCTGCTTTGTTGATGTTTATAAACAAGGGTTCCACACTGCTTTGTGAAACAGTTTCATTGGGATGCTTTACACAAACCTTTGTTGAAACAAAGAACCCTTTAGAAGCTTAACACAGGCTTATTTTCTTCCCCCTAACGTTAATTTTATTTTAATTGGGCTGGCTGCAGATGCTTTTTCTGAGGACCAAGAGATGCCCAGGTGCACGCAAGCTCTTTATGACTGCCACTTGCTGTGTTCATTGCCCCCACAGTCCCTCCATGTGCTTCTGTGCCAGTGAGCATCAGAAAGCATTTGGTACAGATGCAGGATTTCAAACAAATTTGGCATCTTTCCCTGAAGTGAAGGTATATCCATTTGTAATGAAAGAATAATGAATTTCTCTTTGGGAAAAAAGCATAAATTTGGGAACTGGGAAATAGTAGCATTTCTTACCACCAATACCATTTGGTGTTATTTGAATAACACCAAATTCTACCTTCATACATGCTATATATTGATGATCATCTACTAAGTTGTTTAAAAAAGGGGTTGTTTGGACAATGCATTAGAAAAAGGTGGGCTGTGATTTTCTTTTCCTATCTTTTCGTTTGTTATTTCTCTCTTCTCAGAATGTTAAAATTACAGCTAGAAAATATGTAGCCATCCAAGACCAAAATCTCTGTAGGAGGCTTGCTAAATCTCTTTTATAGACGAGTAGCGGTGCATTTAGGGTAAAAAGATAGGGGGGCAAGTTTTACTCAATACAAGGCTCCCAAGCATTCAAATTTGTGCCTGTTTCCTGCTAAATAGAGACTCTCCAAAGACGATTAAGCCAGAATCTGAAATATGTGAATGGTTAACCAGTGAGGTGGAAATGGTTGTCAATGCAGATGTTACACATAGTATATCTTTCTCCATCCCCTTTTCACACCTTAAGGGGAAAAATGCTATTTAAAAATGTATGGGAATTTTCCTCTATGTGTCCCCTATATCTTTCAACATTCTAAAAGCATTTACAGCTGGAACCAAATAATTAACTCATTGTTTAGAGTAGCCTTTAGACTAGGATTCTTCAACCTGGTGCCATGTAGATGAGGATAACTCCTGTAGTCTAACACATTCTGACAATATTGGATTAGGGAAAGCCATTTCTAAAGTGCCATCTGTCATATTTTCGCATAATCTTGTAATTGTAAATAATATCTTTCTGCAGTGCTTAAATCCCACCGAGGAGTACATTCTCTGTACCATTTTCCTAATTCCTTGAATTGAAGTTCTACCTGTCTCTTCCAATATGACATTTTCTGCCCTAGAGAAGTGGTGTGAACTCTGCAAGGCTGCAGCCAAGGACTAATTTCACAATTCCTAGCAAGCAAGCTATCTTTCCCCTGAGATAGCTTCACCCAGATTTGAATCAATCTTCCCTTGTCCAGTAATGCGAGGATGTGCCTTGTCCTTCTACTTCCTTGACTAAACAGTGTTTCACCCTCCCTATCTCAAACATTAGGAGAGAATGTAATTGAAAAAGTATGGTCCCCCCCCCCCCAAAGTAGCAATACTCAAGGCTGGCAATCATCAAGAAGCAGATACAAGCTTCCAATGTTTCAGGGGGCTCAAGGCTAAGTAGATGTAGATGAGTGAAAAAGTTTCTCCATCTTCAAGTCATATTTACTGCTGCTGAAGTTCTTGCTATGACTCAGCCCCAATTCAATTCTTCCCAATTTGTTTCTGCAGATTCTGGCCAAATCTGTTTTAATATATATATATATATTTTAAAAAATCATTAAGATTAATTTAAATCAAAGGCACAACATTACGATTCCATTTGGGTAACATTCATTTTCTCTGGCACCACCTGACCCAAACCTTCAGTGTTTTGATAGAGAGATTATCACATCACATAAACTATATTTGTGCTCTATTCAAGGAAAACTGACCCATAAGAATGCAATTAGGATCTGGCTATACAGTATATATTGAAAAAGTATTAGAGGTAAGGGATCAGGTTTCCCACCACTATGTCAAGTAGTGGATCATGTACAACTTAAGTCCCAGCAGTGGCCCTTTGGAATGCGAATGTTCTAGTGCTTCCATTCAATTTTCTAGTTTCAGACTTAGAAATTTTCAGGGATCAGGGTAGAGAGGGCAAGCTGGGAAAGCAGAAGAATTTTGGCTGTTTTTAAGAGTGGCAAAAGGAAATAAGACAGATCAATCCCAAAGGATGAAAAACACTCCTTAAACTGTAGTGTGCCATCTTGAGCGCTCAGATACAGATACCCCAATACAGCCTTCTAACTCTTTTTTATTCAGTTCCTCTCACTGGCTGTTCATTTTTAGAGAGTTAAAATTAAACTTAGAGATATTAAACTGGATAAAATGCAAGGGGATGAATGATATGGTGAAATGCTCAGGCAAGGAAGTAGAGGGGGAAAAAAAATAATTTATTTCTATCAAGGGGCCATTGGACCTCCCCCATCCGGAACTCTGATATCCTCCATGTGACCCATGGAGGTCCCTGTTACTGGAAAAAGTATTAAACAGCACCCATTCATAAAGTTAACTTTTGGGTGAATAACGTGGCACAGTCAAGAAGGATCTAAGTTCATCTAATTTCTATGAATGATTCCAAAGCTTAATTTCAGGCAAGAATATTCTCTCTTAGCATCAGTCACAGGAATACTGAGAAAGAAGAAAAAGGGAAACTAGAAAAAGCAATAACAAAAAGAGAAAAAGACATGTCAAAAGTCAAAATATGGCCTCTTTCACTTTTGACTCATGACCACTGTTTGCTTGAGTTTTATGCATTTTTGATACACAACCTCCTACAGATTGCTTCCCCCAAATGTGGCTGTTGACAGATACAAACCTCAACAGTAGTACCCCTGATGGATTACATCACTTGTTAAATAGCAATGATGAAATGAAAGTGCAGTTTGGGTTTTCCACCATAAGCACTGAGATATTTTGGCTAAATGTATACATGAAAGGGTAAAGTGTTCCAACGATGTTATGTCCATTCATGTCCTCTCAATCTCTTCTCCAAACTCAATGTCTCTTAGTAGAAGCCGGGTGTATGCCTGGCATTGGTGAAGCATGGTTCAATCTTTTCATAGTCTATTTTTCTTCCCCAATCCCCAATGAAGTGACATTTGAGACATGGGCTGCTTTAAATTCAAAAGAGGTATGTCATCACCCAGAGGGGTAATAAGGAACATTGTTGTGGTAGTTGTAGTCAGGACACACTTTTTGCACAAGTCTGTAATCTATGCTATAGAAGGTTATGTAGATACAGATAACTTTGAATGGCTTGGAACAAACCCAGGAGACCTGGCTCTGTGTGTGGTTCAGGAAGCAGGTTTTAGAAGGGTCATAAGTGCACAGGGTAGTCTTCTTTGCTTTGCTCACCTTCTCAGACTCCACCCGGCAGTTGAAGATCTTTGATTCTTTTGCCTCTATGAAGATTTGTTGCTCAAGATCAAACTCAACTGCTTTGTTTGGTGGCACCAAGCTGACTGAGATGTTCCCATGGCCAGTGGAGTTATGCCGAAAGAACACATTGACTGTGCCATTCCCATGATCAACCACTTTGCCTGTAATTAAGAGGTTGAGTTTTACTGTCTTGATGTTGGAGTAGAAATCACCCCACCCAAATATTTTCTTGAACTGACTAGGGTTGGTGAGGGAATCTCTTCTTCCACGAGGTTGTTTGCCTTTTCCCTGCTTGGACAAGCTATCTAGGATATTCCAAAATTCTGGTGCATTACTGGAGGCCAATTCTAAGAGAGTTGTATTCTGGAAGTGAGATGGGGTTACAGAGGACTTTAAGGAGACTTGGGCTTTTTTCTTTTGCACTCGGGGTCTTTGTTGAGCTTTGGAGGATTTTCCATTTTCTTCTTCCTCCTCTTCTGTTGCCTCATCTTGGCCACAGATTACCTATATGGAACAAGAGGACAGCAGGACCTCATTATCTGTTTTTCCTTTAGGAGGCAGCTGGACTCCGTGATTTTAATTCCACTTTCCAATTCCATGACTAATGGTTAGAACCATGGCAAAACACTTTCCCAACACGTTGTCCTTCAGATCAGTTGTATCTACAGCTCCTAGAAAACTTAGTCAACATGATTATTGACAGAGAATACAGATTGTTAGATAGAATTTTATTTGTATGACATATTGTATTTGTATACAGATTGTATTTGTATATAATCTGGCCCCTAAATGGAGAGAACTTGTGCAGGATAACTGTGAAAATTCTGACTATTGTCTAAAACTTGATATTCACAAAATAATGTGTTTTTTTGGTCTCTCATATGTATGATTTTATCAGTTAAGATTTAGTATTATAAGCAGATCAAGGCATTTTGATTATTGATCTCTCTCTCCCCCCCTCCTCTCTCTCTTAAATTGTAGTGTAATGTGATATATGAGTAGCCTATAAGTAGTTTCTATATATTTATAAACCTTTTAATTTCAGGAAAAAATTGGCTTTTACAGCAAACTAAAAGCCCAGTGCCCTGGAAAAAGGAAAGACCTACTCCTATGCGGGCAATGATCTTTTAAACTTCCATCTGTGCTAAATTTGGTTTTTTATTACATAATGCCATGAATAGATTTAGTGCTTGACAAAAAGGTCTCTACCCCAAATATGGTTCCCAAATGGAGAGACGTCCAAAATTAGATATAAAGTAATAGATGAGTTGTATGACTTTGGGTTTTGTTATGCCTAGATATGAAGAAAAAAAGGCAAACAATGAATGGGAAAATGTTCCAAAATTCAGTTTAAAAGAGTAGGAGAAGAGAGAAGATAAGACATATTTTAAGCATGCACTAAATTATAGTTTATCATGATAAACTTAAACCCAGTTAATCCTCAATTTTGTGTGTGTGTGTGTGTGTGTCCAATTTACTCCAAGAAAATACATTTCAATGATTAAAATGTTAAACTGAATTTGGAAATTATGTAATTATTGAATTAGGACCAAAAAACCCCCCAAATTCTACTTTTCTCTTTCATGACTCTCCCATTGATTCATGAAAACACTTTAGTGCATTTTAGATCCTTCCCATGTCTTAGATCCTTCCCATACTATATAGGGAAGTGGAACATTAGATCCCATAGATCCAAATTAACCCCTCTTCATGACACCCAGACATGGAAACTCACAGTATTATTTCCAGACAAACTGAAGAAGGAGTACAGTGTATATAATCGTCAGCTTCTGGAGGATTTAAATCAAATAAACAATCAAGCATTAAAGAAGGAAAGAGTATACTGTAATATTGCTATCCAAAAATTATTGTTTGAGTTGAGCAGCCCTAGAAGCCCATTAAATAATAAATCAATTAATTAAAAGATATTTGAAGGAAAATAACTTCATGAACTACAGTGAGAAAATTGCTTTTGTAAGCAAACAAAAGTGAAGATCAACCATGGTTTGGCAGGATCAAAAAACCAATTAATGAAAACAGAATCAAAAGCCACAGGATTTTTTTCTTACAGAAAATGTGAAGAAGGGAGAAAAGAGATATGGACCAAGGAGAAAAGCAATGGTTATTTTTGAACCATAAACAATAGTTCCTCAGTGAGGCCACGCCTAGAATAAAATTGCATGCATAAGGAACATTAAAGTGAAAACAAACAACCAGAACAACAAGTAGCACAATCCTATGTATACTTTTGAAGAGTTCCAGTGTTGGAAATTAGAATTGTAATTGTTGAATTAAGACAAAAAAAAGAAAAAAATCCTCACTTTTTTTCTTTATTCCCCTGTTGATGCAGGAAAATGCTTTACAGCATATAAACCCCAAAGCTAGTTGGAAATCCTTCCCATATTGTGATTCTATAAGGAAGTGGAATGTTAGATCCTACAGATCCAAATTCATCCCCCTAGATGTTTTTTAACCCATTTTTACCTAAAATGGGTTAAATTAATCCATTAATTCTGAATTCAGAAATTTGATGCAAAAACTTACAAATCTTTGGGAGAGTTCTAGCATTTGATTTCCTCCTTCAAGGTTATAATACATCCATCCATCCACCATTCCCTCTTTTCTTTCTGCACCCCCTTCTTCTCCAATTTCAAGAGGAAATGAGTAAAATTCATATCCTAAGAGCTACCAGAGGAAGGTATCAAGTAGAATTAAAATAGTGCATAAAAAAGGAAACCCAATTCTGAATTTTCATAGGAACTAGCATGGTATTCCTTCCCTCCCTCCTTCCCTTTTTAGGAAGGACAAACTCTTTCTTCCCATAACCTTCCCAAGGGGTTCTCAACCTTGGCAATTTTAAGATATAGGACATCTTAAAGTGTCCAAAGTTAAGAAGCCCTGCTCTGGAAGGAAGGTCCATCCCTGAGTGTTTGCCTTAAACATGCTAACATTTACTTAATCCAGGCATTTAACTGAGTGGCCTTTTAACTGGTGTACTGACCCAGTGAGTGGTTGAAAGCTATGAGCAAAGAAAATAATAGGTAAGCGTCTGGATATTATCAACTTCAAATGGAAGAGAAATACTAAAATGAATGGTACAGACTGATAGTTGCAAAACGTTGATTCTTTCCTCTTACCCAATTTTAGCATGGCCTGTGGATCATTCAATACAGCTTGATTGGCTAGGTACCCCAAGGGTTTAGGAACTGGACTGTCTTAAAATAAATAAATAAAACTGTTGACTTGCCCATCCACGCCCATTTGTGTGTATAGGTAGGCAGGTATTGGGTTCTCCATGCTATCTTGCAGAGCTCAGGACAAACAAGGAATCAGTTGCTGCAGGTTTGGGGTATTCAATGGTTTTCCTGCAATGCAGCCTCTTTCTGGGGCTGTTTAGGAGGAACCCACAGCCTTTCCTTTTCTACTTCTGGATTGCCTAGGGAAGCTTAAAGAGAATCCAGGCTGTTTAGTCAGAGCCTCCTCTTTCTCCAACAGGAAATTTCATTGATCAGATTTGTATCCCACATTTCCATCAAAAGAAAGAGCACTTGAGAAATTAAAACAGAAAGCAATTAATTAAAAACACAGTGAACAAAAGTAAAATGAGCATAATGGAACAACTGCAGACAAAAAGTTTAATATGGTGAAATTGTGCAATCATTATAAATAAACAAAAATATTCAGAAAGCTATAAAAACTATTTCACTAATCTATATACCATCTTTTAGCAGAGACCACCTTAGTGTTTTATTATAATGTAAGCCGTCTCATGAAAAAAGAAGGAAATCACACCATTTATTACGGGGAATAAAAGGGATACTAATATTTCCCTGAGGTTCCCAGTGCGCGCACACACACACACACACATGTGGATTAATCAGGATACATGTTCAAGTTTCCAATCAATTGTCATGCAAATCTAAAGCTTATGAGAATTGTTGTCAAAGACATTCGGCAAAAGGTTGGTTCACGACTTTTGCTATTGACTTTTACTGTTAAAATAAATGCTTTTGCAATGCCAATTTAAAGTTTTTCCTGCTTAAAGCAAATCCCAGATCATGCCCATCAACCTATGCTAGATCCACCACTTTCAATGGTCCAGTGACATCTTTGAATTTCTGCCTCATTATCTTTCTCTATTAGGATTGGAGGAGCCTAGAAATGCTATATAATAGTGATTGTTCTTAGGACACATAACATGAGCTGATTTATCAATGGAAAATATGATAATGCTTGGCTAGATGGAAATGAGGAGGAGGAGGAGGAGGAGGAAGATCCCACAGTGCATGAAGTGGATACACAAAATAGTGGAAAATACAGGAATGCAACCACAAGAATTGCCTAAGTGGTGTGAGAGAGATTGGAGACTTTTTATTTATGGAATCACTAGGAGTTGGTTACAGTTTGACAGACCCTATCAACAATAGAAATGCCATAAAACAAACTCATGTCTGTTTATGGTAAGATTTGAAGACTGCCCAGCGACAGTCTGGACACACCCTTAGTCTTAAAACCATCAGTGAAATAGCTATAATTATAGAAGTAATAATACTATGAAGAATGCTTAAATGTGGATTTCATCAAAAGGCCTTTTTCCAGAAGTGATATATTGTAGGGATAAAGAAATGTAGCTACCAGCTGTTGCCCCCTCCCCCTATCTCCCATTAGTATTCATGATAAGGATATCAAAGCAATCTGCTTGATAGATGGCCAGACTATATATCTCCACAACCCCATAATGACTATTCCAAATTTTCTGAAGTTGGCAACTCACAAAAACCATCATTCTTATTTAGTTTGAGCATTATGCTGTTTGTACAAGTATGAGAACTGTCATCCAGCATACCTTGAAATAGGACAAAGTGACAAGGACTGTATATTTTGATGTGAAGCAAGAACTCCATGTACCATTATTACTCCCTGACACCTTCAACTGAGATATGCCAGAGATTGAAATAAAGAGGTTTTACATATGGCTTTAGAATATGCAAATTCTAAACCTGTTGTCCTGATATTTTATTTGGCAAGTATTTGGCAGATAAGGAAAATTAACAGATAATAGAACAATAGGAACATTGGAGATCTTCTAGTCCAACCCCCTACTCAAGGAGAAGACCCTATACTATTCCAGACAAATGGTTGTCCAGTCTCTTCTTAAAAGCCTACAGCAATGGAGTACCCACAAGCTCTGAAGGCAAGCTGTTCCACTGGTTAATTGTTCTGTTAGGAAAGGTGGATTTTGGATAGGAACCCATAAATATGGAAAGAATATGTAATAACCTCTTATGATAGACTTGGATGTACTCTGCTTCTGATCCTGGAGATGATATATATAGCCTTTGATAAGATTACCCAGATTTTGGAATTTGTTTCCAATATTATATAATAATAGCCATTAGTTTAGATTGCATGAAGAGAGGATGAGATCAAAGATGAAGAGCAAATTCATGTACCCTAATGCACTATCTGTGGTTGTTAGTCTTGATGGCTGCATAGGATCTTTT